AATAAAATATGTAAAAAATTCAAAAACAAACATTATTCAGGACTGAAAATAATGGAGCCACAGAATTTGTATTTGTAGATAGTGCAGCAATAAATTAATTAGTTATTTCAATATTGCTATTTTTTTTTCGAGCCAGGATATTTTAAACAATAAAAATAGTTCATCTTCATTAAAAAAATGTTAGTGAAATGAGAACTAAATAGAGGTGAAATATATCAATGTGATTTTCAAGGAAAACGAATCAGTTCGTGTTCAATGACTTTTATTTTTCAAGAAATTATTAGCGGTAAAATATATCAATGTGATTTTCTTTTAGCCTGCAAAAGAAAAAAAATATAATGCGAGTGAAATGAGAAATAAATAGATTCACACAACAACATTGCTATAACTGAAACTTAAGTGGACTAAAATTGTTTTCTTGTATGAAATATAACCACAGATAAGTACAATTAAACCAATGAACCAAAATTTACTTATATAAAATCTCTCTCCCTCTTTCTCACACTCACAAGTAAATACATAAATTTTATATGCATTTTAATAAAAAAATCATAAAAAAAAGAACATTTATATTTTCACTGAGTAAACATTATGTCGATGGTATTGAGATGTGGCTCTTTCTCTGCTACCTTCTTCAATATAGATATTTTGATCCTTAAAAGAAACGGAGGATATATATATATATATATATATAGATATTATGATGTTTTTTTAATTAATGTTTTAAAATAAAAACTAGATTGGTTGTGAACCATCGGTTGATATATATCTATATATATATATATATATATATATATAACTTATAAGATAATTGTTTTTTAATTATCTTATTGTCTGTCTCAAATATGATATTATATATAGGGTCTGGAAGGGGGACATCTTCTCAGGCGACAATACCATCTAAGGGCGCCGCAGCCGGTGGCGGAGCCAGAGAGGGCACTGGTGGCATCGGAGGTGGTGGAGCCAGAGGCGGTTCCTCCGGTAGCCGTGGCAGTAATGGGGCAAGGACAAGGCCAGGTGGAGAATGGAATCCTCATGGAGTGGTAGGAGGAGGAGCAGGGCACCACCACAGTGACAGTTCATCAACGACTCAGATATGCAGGAACACAAGGTGGCTACTACTTATAACGTTAATTTTTCTGCTTATGATGTACATGTGTACTGCTGATCCAGCTTATTTAGCTAATCTTCATTCATTTCCATGTCATTACTCTCAATAATTGAACCAATCACGTGTATTAGACTTAGTTCTTTTTTTTTGGGGCAAATTAGACTTAGTTCATGGGACAACTATATATACATTACATGTACAAGAGAAAACAGAATTGTTGTTGCTTAAATACTGTAGAGGAAGATTTTGTTATTCACTTGTTGTTTGTTCAAATATGTGTGCCAACTGGTTTTTTCGTCGTTAATTTATCCTATGCTTCATTTACTCTGGTCTTTCTTTTCTCTTTGAAATAATTTTAATGTTCACTTGCCTCTTCCCACTTATATTTCCATCCGCAGATGTGTGTGTACTCTGTGTGTGTGTGTTATGACATTAGTTTTTGTGGGATGTTGTCTGCTTTTACAACATTCAATTAGAATGAGAATAATTGCTGTGTTGCTGTGTAATACATAGAGTGTAAGTTAGGCAATGTTTGATATACGAAAAAAAATGTTTTTAAAATAGTAAATGAGAATTTTTTTAAAAAAAGAATTATAACAGATGCATTTCTCATTTTTGCTAACAAAATATTTTTCGAGGCATCAAAGAAAATTCTATTATGAAATTATAATATAACAGATTGTCCACTCCCTTTGTCATCATTATGCTTGGAGGTGAAAATGTTTTGTTTTCACAAGTCAAGCCACAAGTTCGAATCCAGGCACTCTCAATCTCATACACACGGGGAAAAAAAGTTGTTTCTTCATCTGACATCTTGTATGGTTTATATAATTCGTGAATAATATATGGTTTTAAAAATTTTGTATTTGATATGGTTCATGTCTAAAAAATACCGGTATGCCTTTGTGTATCTGATATACATCGAATACAACAATTTTCAAAATTTTGGAATATATGCATGAAAATATATGTTATATATTTCAATTTTAGGGGATGGATGTTATTGGTACTTGAGTTTAAAACAAGTAATATAAAAATATTTCTAATAATTAACAAAAATATTAATTTTTTATTTTTTAAGTCTTATAGAGAAATATTTTGATAAAAAAATATAGTAATACAAATTGTAAAATATGTCATACGCATAATGAAATAAATAAATAAATAAATAAAATAAACTCCATTCTCTCATTAGCGGGAATGAGAATGATAATTCTCCCAATTCGACAATCAGAAAAAGGAAAGTATTATTGGAAACGCAAGGTGAAATTATTATCATACCTTCATTGATAAATTAAAATTACTAAAAAAATAAATAAATCCATGATGAAGAAAGATTTCAAAAAATAAGGAAATATAATTTTATTTTATTTTCTTAAAAATAAAATTTTAATCATATAATTTTTAGCAATGAATTAATCAAAATTATTATTTTGTTATTGATGACTTTAAAAAAAGTTACAGAGTCAAAAATGAAAAAAAATATATTTATACTTTAATATTTTTATTCAATATATGTAAACGATATTTTTTACTAATTTAAAAAGTGATGATAAATGTTTTAACATATTTTTACTTCACAAATATTATAGATATTTGATTATCTTTATTTTCATTCTTATATTATTTTCATTATAAAAAAAAATACATTTGTTTCCGTGAGTATATTGATTTCATTAGAACAAAACTTATTTTAACTCCTCATTTCTACTCTCTCCATTTCTATATATATATATATATATATATGTAAAAAAAACTGTATTCACACAATTTGAGAAAGTTAATTAACTATAGTAATTATATTGAAAAATAAAAAAATTAAACTAAAATATCTTATGTTAATCAACATAAGCAAATATTAATTATTTCTCATTAATGTAAATTATGAGGGGTAATTCAAAAAATATGTAATAAATGTTTATTAAAATATGTGATTTTACTTGTATAAAAAAAAAAGGCAAAAAGTGATAATTTATCTTATAAATAGAAATAGAAAAAGTATTCCCAACACTAATGGTGGGAGCACAAATGGTGGTGGTGGGAGGGTGAATTTTTGAAAAGGTGTGTCTAAGTGAAACTTAAACTCAATACCTTTAGATTTTTCAGACATTTTTTGATAAGGGTATAAATTTAATCATAAATTATTTTTTAAGAAATACTAAGCAGCTTATACCATGGTGCACGATAAATTATTAACTCATAAAATTAAAGCACTTGGCACCTTTTATTTACTTTTAAAAAATTGACGTTTATTAATGTAGGGCCCGCGTGAAAAAGTCCACACAAGCAATCTTCATCTCTCTCTTGAATTGCAACAAAACAAGAAGACACACACACGAACGCATTACACACACACTCGACCATGTTGAGATCATTGTGAATGATCAAGGTAACAGAACCACCCCTTCTTACGTAGCTTTCATTGACATAAAGAGTTTAATTAACAATGCGGCAAAGAATCAAGTCACCATGAACCCTCAGAACACCAGTTCGACACGAAACGGCTCATCGAATTGAGATTCTCCAATGCCTTTATTCAAAATGACATGAAGCTCTAGCCTTTTAAGGTTGTTCCTGATGCCCGTGACAAGCCCATGAAGATCGTTCATTATAAAGGCAAAGAGAAACGTTTTGCCCCTGAAGAGATCTCCTCTATGGCCCTCACGAAAATGAAAGAAGTGACTGAAGCATTTCTGAGTCAAACCATTAAGAATGCAGTCATCATCATGCCTGCTTATTTCAATGATTCATAAAGGCAAGCTTGATCGTATGCTTGTACCGCTTCTTCTGCCATCTCAAACGTCCCCAGCCACACCCTCCTCTTGCTGTGCAGATGAGAACAATAGATGAGGACGATAATGGAGGAATTTGTGCTTCAGAGAGAGAGAGAGAGAGAGAGAGAGAAGGAAGGGCCAAAAGAATGGTGCATCAGTGAGTTATACATGTTTTTTTAAGTCAAATAGCTGGTCAACAAATGGACGTTTGCTCGTATAGATGAAAAGGTATCAACCTACTACGCTTTTCCTAATTTATGTTTTTTTTTTTTGCACCAATCCATATCCATAATATAGAATATTCAATGTTTATTAAAAAATAGCTTGTGATTAAATTTGTAACTTCACCGAAATTTTTTTTATAGCTATTAGGCCACGGATACATTTTAACGATAGAATACAAATATTTTATATAACAATTAGATTTAAAAATAAGAACAACAATTTAGTTTTACATAAATGATTGACAACTAGGCTTCAAAAATTTATAACTCCTCCAAAATATACTACAAAGCACTAGATCCACAACTCATCAACAAATAATATTTTTTTGGCACAACAAGTGACATTTTAAATTGATAATTTCGGTCTTGTGAAATACAAAGTAAACTTGGCAAGTTAACATCAAGGCTTCGCTATTGGTGTTATTTTCTTGTCAATTTATTAGTATCATTTTAACATTTCAAGTTTCAACAGAGGCGGATCCTCATGCGGGCTCATGAAAAAAAGTTTGTGTTTTATTCAAAATCACACGTACTTTCACATGAAACAAGTTATTCCCCTATTTAAAGTTTTGAATTCAAGTATTCTGTACGTGAAGGAGAAAACATTGGAAAGCTCTTACAAATTGACAACTGATTTGGCTTATATTCAAATTGGTCAGGATTCCACATGGTTCGTTATTACGAAAAAAAAAAAGAAAGACATTTTTTAAGGCATGCACAAGTAGACTCCACTAACGGCATAGATTATCTCCTTTGACATATCGAGAACAAAGTATAAATTTTTTCCAACTAAATTACTACATATATGAGTCGAGGTTCAAACCCTCAACCATTTGCTTAAAAGACGAGAGCTATAAACTCGTGCAACTTTAGCCGGTTGAAAGAAAGAAATTAAAATCAAGTATGCTTCATAAATTGCCACGTTGTCATTTCATGAGAAGCACTAGTCCAGAGATAAATCGACTCAAGTCACAATTTATACGCTTTCAAGTAATTCTACACCAAGATTTGCAGACATATCACAACACATCTTACCATTAAAGTGAAAGAAGCTGAAAGGGTAAAAATAAAATGAAGTTTGGTGACTAACTTAAGCTGGGGGAGCAGAAGCTTCCTTTACCGATTCGCGCCATGCATACTCTCTTGCTCCATCCTTATCAACGATCTTGATGACAAAGTTTGGTGGGGCCACAACCAGCCTGGATCTTATTTCCAAGATGCACTTATCAACCAAATCAATTGCTTCCTCCACTGACATTCCACTATGGAAGTGTCTGTCCATCATTGAGAGTGAAAAATAGGAGCCATAGCCAAAAGCTCCCTTCTCAACCTTGTGAAGTGAAGCAATGTAGTCAATATAGTAGAGGGAAGGGCCTGTCTCTTTGTCATAGCCAGCAAGAAGGATGTTCACAAAGTATGGACTCTGAATCAAACCAAATTCATAGAGAAATTAACTCACATCCATTGTTAAGGTGATACATTAACTGCAAATAGAATTTAAGCAATAACAACTTGTCACATTCACAGGCATACCACTTCTAAATCATACATAAAAAACAAGGGGAAATTGCATGTAAGGACCTTTCAAGAAAGTTATTCACAGATAAGGATCAATAACAAGTCACCATTTGGGAAAAAACAAGTCCCTATTTCTATTTTAACAATAAATAATTCTGTGTTGGTCCTTATTTACGAATAACTTTCTTCAGCAGTCCTTGTATACAATTTTTCCTAAAACCAACTCAAGCTACACGGGTTTGGAGAATAAAAATCTGTATCTCACTTTTCATTGATGATGGAATATATAGTGCCTTGGGGGCGTGTGGTGGGTTTATATGTCGCCATAAGCCATGAGACTAAATATACATGAAACAAGTTTTTTCTTTTAATATTTTTATTCTTCTACGAAATAAAATGCAGAATTCCAGCCAACAGTAAAAAAAAATCAATAATAGAGAAATCTTTACAGATATAACCACGCAGATAAAATAATCATAGAAGCAATGGAACACCAACGTGGGCCACTGAAGTAGGACCTATTCAGATATGACTATTCATTGAGCTATGAGAAAAATAACACAAGTAATATACAGATGAAACAATCTGGAAAGCCCTTTCCCAGTGGTAGAACAGAACAACAGAATCACATTTTCCCACAGCCATAACTGTTGGTTTTGCATAGGAATTATCTTCATCTGGCATGAGAAATATGTGATTATTCAGTCTAAAGCAAATTAAACTCAAGTGATTGCGATGTACTTGCTAACAATCTGAAACTTAATCTAAAACTTCAAATATAGTATTGTTTATTGAAACTGCAGCTGAGGAGGCACTGTTTCCATCCACCAAAATGTTTGCTGTTTTTGGAGATTCATAGGATATCTTCTCACCATGCAAAGTGAGCATCAATCATATTGTTGCAACAAAATTAATAACAAACTAAATGCAAATCTAATTCACAGTTACAGCTTCAAACAACAAATGATAACTCTTCTGGATACATTTCCCTATTGGCATAAACAAATTGTCAGCAATTTTAAATATTAATAAATCAAGAAAAGGTGAAACTTCAGAACCCAAAATATAATCTCCCACATTACATCAAAATATGATATGGCTGTGTCTCTTGCAACAATGGCTAAACAAACCAAAGTTTTTAAAGAACTGAAAAGGGAAATAGCACTCTAAAAGCACAAGTGCTTGCAGTCAAATCAACTTCGGAAGTATGGCCACCAACAATGCTGGTGCCTGGCCAAGATTTGATTTTATATTGACACTTCAGCTAATTGATACCTGACTACTACCATAAAAACCCTACATCACTACCAAGTAATAGCCACAGCTGTTCCTGCATTAATCAAGAAACGTTTCACCTACAATACGTTGGTAAACCACCAGCATTTCCACTCTGCATCAACTTTTGCTCTCTCACTACAAGCACCTCTTTTATCCCAACATCTAATTATTACTAGCCTATCAATGTTGAAAAACAAAAACAAAATAAGTCTTGGTGAATCTATAATCTTGTGGGATGCATGATATGAGGGAAATTTTGTTAACAGGTAAAAGCATTACCAAAATGAAAACTTTTGAGAAGAGTGAAATAGATAACTTTAAACCCTGTCAAGAAGGGTATAAGAAGGCTAAAGAGAACACTTTTCAAAGCTAAAAGCTTAATAAATGATAAAACAAAACGGTGTCATATAATTCATGTAGCCAACTCCACCTAGTGGGATAAGGCTTGTTGTTGCAAAAGCATTACCCAAGTTCCACAAACATGACCAAAAATCATAAAGGCTTCAGAATCATGCAGGACGCAGCAGATGCAAATTTGCATTTAAAAAAGATCCTCAATCATCACTTGTAAGGCCTAGCTAGGTAAAAAGGCAGGCCAATGCCACAAATTCTAAGTAAGATACAAATAGGCACATGCCAACAAGATATAAGATATCCATATAAGTAGCAGAGAATCCCCAAGCAAGAGGATTCATTGAAGCACAAAATATTGAATGAACAAAATTAGTATCTAGGCGGATAAACATTCCAAAAGATCACTTCAAGCAAAGTCAAGAGGGCAGCAGTAGAATCATGCATGCATCCAGAAAAAGTGTATATATATTGTTTGAGGATATATACAATGCAGTTATATATCTGCAGGTAAAAAAAATAAAAATTACTGGATGACAAGGACGATAATCACAACATGAACTGTCAATGGTACAATTATGCCTAAAATATTAAAATTAGCTTCAAATGGACTTCCTTTCTATTGCTCTGAAGAATATTTCTAGACATGCTTAAAGGCACACAACGCTTTGGTAGAGCAGGTAAAGAGATCACATACATGGAAGTTTGCTTTATTAACACTAACCAAGATAAAGACTACCACGCTACCAACAGATGCTATTCTTTCATTGAGTGAGAGTACATCACAAGGAATTTTTGTTCTGGATCCAAAATAAATAAAGAAATAATGATAGGAAAGCTAGACCTAAAATTTCAAAATTTTCTCAGATTTTCTTCAACCCAATGTGAGTGCCAGAAAGTGTACAATCCACGGGAGGCATATACTGTGATACATACGATTATTCAACACCAAAAGTCTCGGTAAGAGTAAAATGAAAAAAGTAAACAAAATTCACTTGCCCAAAACTAAGATTAAAATAGAAAAAAATTGAGACCCAGAAATTTCAAAGCTAAAAGCTGAAGCCAAAACCCTAAAACCAAAAATTAATCAAAACAGTCACATGAACAATAATAAGCAGAGATGAGAAAAGGGAATCCAAACCTTGCGCAAAGCAGTGGCAAGCTCGCCACGCGTGAAATTGGCAGCGGCGGCAGTGGTCAAAGGGATCCCATTACGGAACTGATAGAGGGCCACGTTTTTCTGAATGTACTCGGTGAATTGAACCCTGCATCAACACGAATGAATATCACAAAACAAAAATCACTCCAAAAACGATGAAACCCTAATATCAAACGAGAGGGAAGGCGGGACCTGTCTCCGGGCTCGCCACTAGCAGCGATAAGCTTGTGAGAATCGAGGACCATGATCTTGTCCTCGTTGGACTTGTGGACTAGGATGCTGTGCACCGCAGATGTATCCGCCGCCACAATCGCGAAGCCATTTCCGACAAGTCCGAATACGCACTCCATTTGCTCGATCTGCTCCTTCGATTATCTCTGTTTTTGATCTATTCCGCTCCTTTTTCTTTCCACAGATGACTCTCTTTTGTTCTCTCAGAGACAAGAGAGCCTTCGTGCGCAACAAGTTGGGCGGCAGCAAGTCCGGGTCGGTTCGGAGTCCAATGGATTCTGCCAGTACAGCCACAGGCAGTCGGGTAAGGATTACAAATAAATTAGGGACGATTACTATAAATTCCATATTAATTCTCTTAAATTCTCAATAAAATTGAGAGTAATTAATTATCTTGGATGAAACTTTAATATATTTTTTTAAATTATAGGGAAAGAATAATTGGCTGATATTTTTAACATTTTTTTAATATTAGTCCCTATATTTTTATTTCATTGTTTCAAATTTTTAAAGTTTCATATGTTTGCATCTGGCAGAGTCAAGTTTGTTTTGTCTAATTTTATTGGTTAGTTGATAAAATTATGATATAGTTACATAGTGTATGAACAAAATGGTTACTAATATTTTTGTCTATCTATCGTAAATCTTAAACTCTAAATCCTAACAACAATTGAAAATTCGGATTTCATGTCTTATTTTTTTTTATGTTTTCTACTCATTTTTTATATAGTTGAACATAATTTTAACAAGTCCATACAAGAAGTAATAGAGTTTATACATATATTAATAATCATTAAATCCTTACAAACGACACTAAAATTATTGAAACCAATATCAAAACACACTACAAGTATTGAGATCAAAAATTATATTTTTCCTAAATTATAAATAAGTTTTCCTTCATTACTTTTCTTTTTTTAAAAAAAATCCAAAGTTTAACATTAGCAAGTATAATCTAATATGGCTCATCTTTTCAAGAAAAGTTCATGCACCACATGATTATTTTATGATTAAATTTAAAATTAGTCAAAATACTATTATTTATTTTTATTTTCTTAAAATGTAAATTTCATAGACTCCTCTATTTTGTTATAATTATGTAAATTTTTTACTTTTAAAATCTGTACAAATTTCTCTTGAAATTGAAAGTTAGACAGCACATAACTCCCTTATAGTTTGGGCTAAACAACAATTTCACTCTTAAATTATAGGTCCATGAAAGTTTGAAATCTTAAATTTATTTTTTGCACATTGTTCCTATTCATTTTTTGAAAACAGTGCAATGTTATTTTTATCATTAATAAAAGTTAATTTTGAAAAAATATTTAATAAAATATTCCTAATGATATTAAAAACTGGCTTAAATAAATGCTTTTTTTATTGCCCACCTGATTCAGCTTTGCCCCAACAACATTCAAATCCGACCTGCGTCGCGCACCTAGCTTTGGTGGGTGAGTCTCAGCGGAAATTTTCTGCATACACAAGACTTGAACTCAAAACCTTATTTAAATGAAATAAAGTCACTTATCACTCGGATCAGCTTCTGTTTGTGATTAAATAAATGTTTTAGAAATAGAAAAGATATCCCTATATGATTTTTTTTGGGGGTAGAAATGGGGACAAAGCCCATAATATATTAATCAACTAAGAAGGGGGAATTGAAGTCCCGGCACAATTGAATCGGTCGATACAAAGTCCTCAGAAAAGGAGGAACACAAGCAAAATAGGAAGAGACACAAAGAGCCTCTTTAGCAAGCCCATCCGCAACCTTATTTTGATATCTGGAAATGTGCGTGATCTTCAGACTCCAAGGAAGTTCCATAAGCTTGGTAATTTCCAAGAAAACAAGACCATGGGTGCAGCGTTCATCGGATATCCCTGTAATGTTTAAAAACTTGAAGTGAAATTATTAGGAAAAATTATACCTAGATCTCACAGAAAAGAATTTATTATCAAAAGGTTCATGAAATTTACAAAATACTCTCAAATCCCAAATCTTGTGCATTTACAATTTAGCAAAGGACATTTACAATTTGAAAAGAAAATATAATTTATAATAGTAAGTTGTAAATACCCATTGCTTAATTATAAATGCCTTTTGCTAAGTTACAAATGTGCCGGCTTTGAAAGTATTTTGTGAATTTCATGAGACCTATCAATAGTAAATTTTCTTTTTGAGACCTAGATGTAATTTTTCTAAATTATCAACCTACAAACAAAACAAAAACAAAATCCTACAAACAACCATTATTAGCCCATGGGATCATTACAACTTTTTTGTTTTCATTAATTTTACCATCCATTCACATTTTTATCATGTGAATACATTGACATTAATTTATTATAACAGTTCCATTAACATTTGCCTCAACAGAAGGCGAAGATGCATGGTGGCCATGGTTCTAGGGCATTTAGGTGACCTAATGACTTTACAAGAAGCACCTTTCTGCATGCTACAAACACACTCATCGTGTGGAATTTCGGCATCAGCCGGTTGGCAATAGATGTGAACTTCACCAATGCCCCGGTAACAAGGATGACAAGTCTCTATGCATTCCTTTATATCCGGGGAACCACCTCAATGGTTGCCAGTTCACATGAGTTCACTGCTGAACATGAAAAAAAATTCAATATGCGCGCGCGCGAGAGAAATAAAAAATGATGGAGTGGAAAAGAGATGTGAGATAGAACCTGATGAAGTGAATACAAGTAGGATCAAAATTGGAGAAATAATGGATGAGAAGTGAACCATTTGATTTTTCAGAGAGTATTTTGTTTGACAAGCTGAGCTATATGCATGGCATGTTCTGTGAGATTTTATAGGGAGGAGAATTTAAAGCAACATAGTATAGTGCACTTTATGGGAATAATATATGTAAAACGACAAGATGTGTAGTTAATAGTAGTAATGGGAAGTCACATTAATCCAATTATGAATTCACGATGATGAACATTAATAGTTTTGCAACCCTCTTAAGCATGAATATTTATGATAATGATTATGAACATTAAGTAGGCTATGCTTTTTATAGCATTCACATGTTAGAAGCAAGACTTGCTACTCCGTTTGGTAGCATAGAAGGATTTTTTATGGAATTTGTGGGGAGTGGGAGTGAGGTGAAAATGAAATTTTAAAACATGTTCTAACAATAAAGAGGCAAGCATGACTCTTTGTAATCTTTTTATGAGATATATTTAGCTATTTTTAACATATTTTAATTTATTGATCTATTTATTATTTTGACATGTAAAGCATCTTTACACATCAATGATAGCACCTAAAGGCCTCTTAAATAGGGTGTTTTTGATAAATATTCATTTTATCTACCCTTATGGAAGGGGGCTAATGAGTGAGATCCACGGGGAAAGCAAATCATAAGACATCTTTGATTACTTATGCCGATGTGAGTGTGGGAACAATCAAATTTTTTGACACTATTTAGTGATGAATGAATCACTTTTAATAGTAGTATTTGAATTTTTTTAATTACGTTATTTTTGTATAATACATGCTAATATGTGCTCAATGTGATTATAACTATTGCATGCTATACTTATACTCAATCCATATAAAGGTAAGATGTGGTACCTCAATCCTCTTAGAGGGAAACTGAATAATAAAAAACATATTGTGGTGATGTTTGATAAATAAGTTAAATATTTTTTTCTTTTTTGCATTTGTGTGTTGATTATTATTTCTATATGATCTTTCATATAAAGTTTTCTAATGTCATGTAGGGCTGTATACATATACCGAAGCAAAAAGTTTGACTTTGCAATCATGTTCCTAGTGGTAATTATGAAAATGCATTTAGATGGATCATAATAAAGGTATACATTTATTCTTAATTTGTTTGATCAAATTTAGTTTATTATATTATAACTAACTATTTTTTTTTATCAAAAGGGCCCAAAAACAATGCGACAAACCTAGAGATTATGATTATAGCATTATGAGGTACTTGAAAAATAGCCGAACATGTGCCGGATAATGAAAATATGCTTGATGACCAAGTATGATTTCTATCTCTACTTTATTAATTTAAATAATTTACATTATATTACACACATCACATACTTAAGTTTGACTATGTTATTATGTTTGGCTTAACACAACTATAAGGATGCATATGCAGACACACATATTGCACCTCAGATTGAAGAAGTCTTTGAAGAGTTAGGTCAATATATATTCAAGCAATAGGTAAACAACAATAAAGATGATGAATGATAATTGCTTAATGGCTTGCTCATTAGGATTATTCTGTAAGTTCTTTATATTAGGCAAACAAACAATTACTGTGGCCAGTTTTGGTTTTTGATTAACTTTGGCCAACTTAAATTGTAATAAGATTAACTTGACAATTGTTTTCTTGCAATTAGCTTACTGTTTAGGGTGCATTTTTTGACAATTTGAAGTATTTACAGATGGACTTTAGAAGTGATTATAGAAAAATAAAGTTGGATTTTGAAATATTATTCAATGTATATGATTTTTTGTTTCATTTGGAATTCTATTGCCAGGTTATTGCTGCCGAGAATATTCGTTTTGTAATTGCAAGAGGATGCTAGAAAAGTAACTCCTATTAAAAAAACATAATAAATTAGATAACAATTATTTTAAAATAACCACTATATAGTTTGTTGAACCACTTGTGTAAAAAGTGATCAAAACTGGGCTTGAACGTTATATATTTAACAACTCGATAACAATTATTTTAAAAAAAAACCAATAATATAGTTGTTTAAAAGGTTCAAATGATTCAAAACTAAAACAAATTATATAACAATTATTTGTAAATAATTGTTATATACCTCAACTATATAGCAATTAAAAACTACTATATGGTTACTTCTGGAATATATAGCCATAATATGTAGGTTAAAAAATGTTATATATTGACAAAAATAACTATTATATAAAGAACTACTTTTTGTAGTAATACTAATGAAGTGGGGTATAATATTTAATTGAGATATGTATTTATAATATATAAATACTAAGGTGCCCTTTAACAAAAAAATCTCTTCCACCATCAGATGCTTCACAACTATTGTAAACTATTATCAAACCCAAAAATCAATCAAGAATCAGCATGTCTTTCCATTAGAGTTGATAGTTCGAGCTAAACTTAAATAAGCCTAGGAAAAATGAGGACTGCGCTTAGTAAAATTATCATTTTTTAATATTTGGGCCTATTTAG